GAGATTGCATTAGCATATCTCGACAAACATGATCCGCTCCGATCTTTAGTGTGATATTATTATATTTATTTTAGTAAATGTGTTTGTAGTATTTATGTTTATGTTTATTTATATTGTGTTGGGCTTGTATTATGTGGGATTTTAAGTTTAAGTGGATAAGACTTGGTGAGATTATAAATATGTACGTATGATATCATGTATGGGCAGTTATCAGATTTTATGTTGAGTCGGAAAAGAAAACAGTTCCTTGTAGTTTTGGTTCTCTGTTCTTCCTATCAGGCTTCTATGCATCAGTTATCTAAAAAAACTTTTTTTTTTTTTTTCCGAAACGATAGAGGTACTATATTAATAAAAACCGCACAAAGTGCAAAGAAAAAGCAGCCAAAGGCTGAATAGTACAACCAAAGACTAGAAAACTGGGAGGCAGATCCAGAGATCGCCTAGAGCCGACCCCAACGGGGTAATACTCGGGCAACACACAAAAAACAACAAAAAAACACAACCACACTAAACCGACTACACAAACAAAACTAAACAAGACCCCAACAGAGTAATACCCGAGTGTCGGACCCCCACGGAGTAATAAATTTGACACACGGGCGCACAGAGGCCAACGGCCCAAACTTAAAACACAATCACACAGGAACAAACACAATCACAGGAACAAATACAGTCAGAAAAACCAGCAAAAAAACAACTAAAAACACAAATCACAAGCCCTCCCTCTACAGCAACTCCTAACCAGACTAGCAACCACCAAATCAACCCAGAGGCACCCACCGCTTGAGATAAACGACCCCTCCACTGCAATTAAGCCTAGCTGAATCACAACTCAAGCCATGAGTCCCACCTAAAGCCAATTCTCCCCCAAACCAGAAATACCAAGAAACTCCCAACACAGCCCACCAAGCCCCTAACACCACTAGCAGCTCAGAAGAACCGAGAACCCCGAAACCCCGACACAGGGATCCGGAGGAAAGGAGCTGTCTCAATACCGCAGCCTCAGCCCCATCATCTCGAAAGCCAAAGGAACCTGAGCCACTCAAGAGCCCAACCTTCTAACCACCGAACACCGCCGGACGCAGGCAAAGAAAACCGAGACAAGATCGGCTAAAAGGAAACTTACCCTCAATCGAGACCGACAACCGACCAATCGTCGACCAAAAGCTCACCGCCTTCCCACATCAATCCGCCGGCGAAAAGGATCAAAGCAGTCCTACGAATCCTGCACTCCACAGCGCCCGGAAAGCACGCCGTCGAAGTCGAAATCGGGGGGAGGGAGAGGGCCGCCTGTTAAACCCAAAACATCCAACCAAAGAAGATGGACCGCCGAGGCCGCACCCGACCCTGACCCAAAGCTCCACGACCCAAGGTCTCTCCTCAGAATCGAAGTGGCCGGATATGGCGACCCAAATCAAATTTCGAGAGAAAGCGAAATTGGCACCACAAGGACCATCGACTCCAGGGGAAAGCTTGGTCTCGGCATCTAGGAGGGCCGGGCGGCGAGGGGGACGACCAGCGAGGCCGGAAGCCGAGAGAGAGGCGTCAATTTAGGAGATTAGCAACGGGAAGAGAGAAGGTTTTTTGGGGGCGACGGGAAGGAAGAGTTACTTATTATATGTATATATCTCGCAATTTTCTATATTTGTTGTCTTTTTGGCTTATTGTTTAAATTTAAAAACTAATTCTCTATAATTAAATTACACATTTTAAATTTTATTAAGCAATACCTGTTCAAAGATCTTTCCAAGTTTTAAGAGAAATACAATTATCACCAATATATTATAGCAATTTATTATGAGAATATACTAAAATTTGAAGATCAAATCACCTTGATTTTATAAAAAGTCATTTGACTTTCATGCTATACCAATTAAATTTCATACAACTTATTTTGTTTTCAAAATTTTCAAGTATACTTTTTTCCATACCAAATAAAATTCATACCATTTAAATTCCGACATTTCATACCAAAATAAAATCGTTCACTTTATACCATAAATTTGAACATTTATTAATAACAACACAATTCCTACCAAGAATAAATTTATATATAATTTAAAAATATATTATTTTATTTTTATATATTATTAAACATATATTATTTTTTATATATTAAAAATATACACTTTTAAGAATATATTATTTTTTATATTATTAAAAATATATTATTTTATTTTTATATATGATTAAAAATATATTATTTTTTATATTATTAAAAATATATTATTTTATTTTAATATATTATTAAAAAGCATTTATATATAATCCATTAAAAGTATATTATTTTTTAAAGAAATATTTTATTTATTTTTATAATAAGAAATGATAATGTCATTCCATTCAAGTCATATTCCTTTTGTATACCAAACGCATCAATGACAAAACTTGTTTTATTCTATTCCCATAATCATTTCATTCTTCAATTCATTCCATACCTACGAAATTCCATTCTATTATACCAATCATGCTAAATTCTATTGTAACCTAGGTGATGAAGTTCGTTTAAAAGGTGTAAAGAAATTAATTATCAGTTGAAATCGTATTAATTTTATATTATAATAAAATTATCAATCCACATACGCATATATCCGGAACCATAAGTTGTACCCAAAATGTATATGTACGTGATGATACAATACATTATATATTGGATCACAAATTTATTTTTATTTTAGTGGTAAGTAATTCCTTCTTATATTGATATAAAAACTATTTTATTTTAAATCCGATGGTTGTAACTTTATGCCAAACCCTGAATCTAAAAATAATGATTTTATTTTTTACATGAGATGGTTGGAATTATACCTAAACTTGAGACTTTTCAGGAATTATTTATTTATTTAAAAATAAATAAAATTAAGTGAACAAAAAAACGTATTCTGTGAATACATTTTTCATTAATAAATGTATTTACAGAATACGTTTTTACAAAAAAACGTATTTAAGGAATACAGTTTTCTTAAAAAAATTAATTAACGTAATTCAGTTAATTAAAATATGAAAAAATGTATAACCGAACATTTTAAATTAAAAAAAAAGACATATTATTCAAATACGATTTATAATTAAAATTAATTTTACATTTATGTTTTAATTATAAAACGTATTCTTGGAATACGTTTTATAAATAAAATTAATTTTTACAATTCTTAAGAATAAATTTTTTCAGAAAATAATATTTCAAAACATAAAACGTATTTTGAAAATAAGTTTTTTACCCCAATTTTACCCCCAAATTGATTTTGCCCTAATTTTAGCCCCAAATTGATTTTGCCCTAATTTTGCACAGTAAAACGTATTCTTGAAATACGTTTTCTTTAAAAAAAAAAACGTATTTTCATAATACGTTTTACTGCAGAAACAGTACCTATGCAGAAAAATTAAAAAAAAAAAAACACACCTATTAATCGAGATCGATTCCACAACCAAATATTAATTCCACAAGCTCATATCAATTCATTCGTCAAAGAAAGAAAAATCAACCACAATAATTTAATAAAAATCCAAAACTGTGGGATGGACTCTGCCCATTCGAAACAACGGCCCAAAACCCGTCCTATCGATCACCTCCAAAACTGTGGGATGTTGTTTGTCCAACACCTTCCAAAATTCAGTGTCGTTACAGCGGTTTCTAATGGTGCCGTTACGACATCCTCGTAAATCTTGATATACCGCACTTGACCGGTGGCGGTACTGAAGGTATAAAAGGGAGGGATCACTCGGACCGGGGTGTACATTCAACCGCTGAGGTTGTGACGAGGACGATGATGCCATTTTCCAAAAAAAAATCCAAATTGACAAATCATATACACAATAAATTCACAAAAACACAAATAAATTATATACACAATAAATTCACAAATTGACAAATCATATACACAATAAATTCACAAATTCACAAATAAATTTAGCCCTACTTTGAAATAATTCGAAGTCCTAATTCACAAATCACAAATAAATTCACAAATTCAACATATCTCAAATAGTTCGAAGCCCTAATTCACAAATCACAAATAAATTCACAAATTCAACATATCTCAAATAATTCGAAGCCCTAATTTAAAGAATTATTCAAAACCCTAAATTTAGCCCTAATTTGAGATTATGGAAAAAATTGAGAAAATTAAAGCCCTAATAAAAGAAATGTACCTTATACAAGGGAAGTGGGCGAGGCGGCGGTGCAGCGGCAAGCGGCGGCGACGGCGACGGCGCGGCGGTGCAGGTTATTTTTTTTTTTTCTTCCAAACTCTCTCAGTCGCTCTTCTTTTCTCTGTGCCCTCTGTTTTGTTTACGTAAGGAGAAGAAGAGAAGGATTTTTTTTTATATATTTATATGTAAAACGTATTCCCGAAATACGTTTTACATGTAATTAATTGTAAAACATATTCTGGGAATACGTTTTATAATTAATAATATATAAAATGTATTCTCATAATACATTTTACATATTAAAAAAAATGGAAAGAGGACCCTAGATTCGGGACTCGAACTCGGGTGGGCGGGCGAGTCCGTTATCTCTGGGCTCACCTCCTTACCAATAGGCCGCTAGGCTATCGCGTTCATTTTTGCGCAAATTTTATTCTTATCCTTAAATATCAAGATTTTTTATAGTATATAGTATTTTTAATATATAGTATATAGAGAAGGGATCATATGAGAATGATTCTTAATGCGAGAAATAAGAATGATTGTGAACCATTGGATCCGTACGAACAACGTACATGATGAAGTCAAAATTAAATAACAATAGTCAATTCATTAATGGCAAAATCATAAATACATGAATATCCATGGATAAATAAATACATTAAGGTGCATTTAAGTAATTCACATACTCCAAAATCAGTGGGACCCACACATATATCATAAAAACCATATCTCTCTCTCTCTCTCTATCTCGGTCGTCGTCTATATCTCTTTCTCCCTCCCTATCTCTATCTCTCTCTCTCTCTCTCACACACACACACCATCACATACACACACCACCGGCGACACAGTCACACACACAGCCACCGTCCGAAGTCTACCTCCGCCCTCCGCCCGCAGCCAACCTCCCTCCCTCCGTCCGCAGCTAACCTCCGTCCGAAGTGTACCTCTGCCCTCCGCCCTCCGCCGTCAACACAGTAGCCAGCTCGCCATGGAAGCTGCTTCATATGACGGCGACCTCCCCCGACTTTGCTGTGGTGGAGCAGACCGACATCCGTGGCAGCGCCGCCGACCCCTCGACTTCGACGTCGATTAGAACCGTCATGGCGGATAGTCGTCGGAACGACGTGGCCTGCAACTAACAGACCCGCGGCTTCCTCGGAGATGAACGGGCATGACAACAACAGATTTGTAATTTTTTTGTACAAGGGCTTGCTTTTGTAAATTTAATAAGTTTTAGGGTTCAAGTGAAAATAAAATTACAATGTCGTCAGTCTGTTGCTAAACAATTGAATTGACGGGCAAAGGGGCAGGTCAATGAATTTAAGTGGGACCACCATTGATTGTTTATTATCAATCAAATTAACCGAAAGAGAAAGAGAGAAAGAAAGCTAATTAATATTTTAGTCTTGGGTTGCATCAATTTTTTTTGGGACCATGATTTGACCATTAATATTTTAGTCTTGGGTTGCAAATCCTAATAATAGATGGTTGACCAATGACCATCATTGTTACTAAATTACTTTAGATACTTCAATTCCTTGAACATACATAGTTGGTATTATAGACTTATACTCCATTTCAATCTTTGTTGATAATTTTTGACATGTTCGGTTCAATTTATCGGTTAACATAAATAACAAAAATAACCGACATAAATTATATTATTTATTATAAAAACATATTAGTATTTAATATTTTTGTCTTATATTTATATTATTTTTTGATTAAAAAAAATAAGTGTATATGTAACGAAATATAATGTGCAGTCTAACTATTTTTAAGGTGCAACCCGTACATCACTATGGTGCATGATGTCGGTCTGTATTTTGCAAATTGCACCAACCGATTTTTTTGTCCCAAATCAAATAGAAAATGAAACATAATTATTTGGTTTATTCTGCTCGGTTAACCTAATTATCCTAAATAAATGAAATAAATTATTGTTTATATTAAAATGATATTTTATATGTTAGTAATTTTATTTATTATTTTTATATTATATGTGCAATCTGAAAGTCGCGATACAGTGCAATGTGTTGTTTTATAAAGTGCAATGTGTTGTTTTATAAGGTGCAACGTGATCTCTTATAAAATATAACGTGTTGATATATAAAGTGCACTGTAAATTTGGCACGCTACCATGCTTTTTTTTTTCTTTCCTTTTTTTTTAAAAAAATATGGTGTGATGAACGTTAAAATATTATGTAGATCCAATTTTTAGAATTATGATTTGTGGTATTTTGGCGAGAGCTAATTATGTTAATTGTGGTTTGTGAAGATGTGCAACATTTTGCTTAATAAAGTGCAACGTGTTGTCTTATAAAGTGCGGTATACTGATATATAAAGTGCAATACTTTATATGATCCTAGATAGATTATGTGTATTCGAAAACTAGTTTTAGTTGAAAAATATTTATATCCTTTTTTGTTGAAAATTCATAATATATATAGTAAAATAATATTTTTTCTTATATAGTGCAGTCGATTGATTATTTATAAAATAAATAAAGCCGTCATTGAACCATAATTATCAAAATTTTAAAAGTCATTGCGGTCGGTACATTTGTTACGTTAAAGTGCAATCTCAAATGCACAAAAGTGCAACATGTTCGTCATTAAGGTGCAATATGTACAGTACTATTTTAGTAGTACTTTATATTGTTTTTATTATTAAATACTATTTTAGTATTTTATATTATTTTTATTACTTTAAAATACTATTTTAGTATTTTATAGTATTTTTATTATTAAATATTGATTAAATATTTGATTTATATTATATTATTTTTATTTTATTTTAATATTTTATATTATTTTATTTAATATTTCTGTTTTTATTTTAATATTTTTTATTATTTATGCACACATACATCCATCCACCAGAGCATTTTATTGATACTAAAAAACACACCACACAGCCAGCCCTCAGTACAACAATAGAAGGAAGAAACTTCACAACCTGTTACATTCATCAACAAACTCAAAAACCCAAAAAAAGAAAAAAGAAAAACACTCGCAGGCCTTTTTATATGTTCCAGGCACCTCCTTGACGGTCACCACTTCCGGCAACGTGACAGCAAACAGCGGACGTGCGGTTGCAGGCGTCAGTTAAGCGCGGTTCCGGCGGGAGTCGGGGCGACGGCGAGATGAACGGCGGCGTACCGGAGCTCACCACTTTCGGCATCGGGGGGGCATACGGTGGACGTGCGGTTGCGGACGTTGATCAGTCGCGGTGCCGGTGGGATTCTGGGCGACGACGAGATGAACGGCGGCGTACAGGAGTTCAACACTTCCGGCAACGGGCGGGATACGGCGAACGTCGATTGCCGACATCGGTTAGGCGCAGTTCCGGCAGGATTCTGGGCGACGACGCCGTCGTGGAGGTCCGTCTGTCAGACGTTCCAGCAAACGTGTGTGTGACTGTGTGTGTGTATGTGACAGAGTGTGTGCGACGGGGTGGTGTTGTGTACGTGTGAGGTGTGTGTGAGAGAGAGTGAATTGGTGAATGAGAGAGAGCGATAGATTTAATGAGACTATGAGAGAGACAGAAAGGTTTGTGTCACGTGGCAGGGCAGTTGGGGGTGTGGTGTGCGTGGGTCCCACAGCTTTTGAGTGTTATCAATTACTATATTACCCTTAATGAATGTATAATTTTGGCTTTTTTGTAGCCACTAGATCATCCGATCTAATGGATACGATTTATTCCTATTTTTCGCATTAAGAGTCATTCTCATGTGAACCCAACCCTAGTATATACATATATATTATAATTTATATAAATATGAATATATGTATTATAGTATATATATATATAGGGATTGGTTCCAATGCATCCCATTATTTAAAGTGAGGACGTGAGACTCATTCCTAGCCACAAGATTTAGATCTTGATTTAAATAATAATTTTTTATTTTTATTATTTAATTCTTTATTTTTAATTATTTAAATATTATTATGACCATTGACCGTTGACTCCGGCGTTGACCGTTGACTTCCGGCGAAAATCGTTGACTTCCGGTGTTGACTGTTGACTTCCGGCGTTGACCGTTGACTTCCGACGTTGACCGTTGACCATTTGTCTTTTCTTATGTTATTTCTTTCTTGTTAGGTTAGTTGTGTCTTGTTGCTAGGTTAGTTGTTTGTTGTTGCTAGGTTAGTTATTTATAGCTGCTATGTTAGTTGAGTTTTGTTGCTAGGTTATTTTTTTCTTGCTGCTAGGTTAGTTGTCTTTTGTTGCTAGGTTAGTTCTTTCTTGCTGCTAGGTTAGTTGTCTGATGCTGCTAGGTTAGTTGTCTTTTGTTGCTAGGTTA